AATTATTTATGTATTTGAGATTGAGTCTTTTAAACATACCAAATAAGTAAAGTAGCTTAGCTATTTCGAAGTTATATTATTGAGTAATTGAAATATGATCGACAATTTAAATAGCTACTATTTTGTTATCATCAAATAACATGTTCAATTCTTCATACGTGTAAATAGTTTGGCAATTTTACGTGAAAAATACTTTTTTATACTTTTTCTTCGTATATTACAGAAACCAATACGAGTAACAGTACTAAGAGATAATACATACCAAATAAGTAAAGTAGCTTAGCTATTTCGAAGTTATAAATTATATTATTGAGTAATTGGAATATGATCGACAATTTAAATAGCTACTATTTTGTTATCATCAAATAACATGTTCAGTTCTTCATACGTGTAAATAGTTTGGCAATTTTACGTGAAAAATACTTTTTTATACTTTTTCTTCGTATATTACAGAAACCAATACGAGTAACAGTACTAAGAGATAATAGGCCGATACGTCTAAAACTTATACCACAAATATGGTCTGGAAAAGGCACTCTCGGATGTTCCGTACTTCCAGTCACTCCTGCTCATATATGAATGTTTTACATTATGATATATACTTTATATGTAATATTATTAATTGCCAAAGATGGCATATAATAGTATATAATAATGTTATTATTTGTGAATATATATTTTTGTTTTGTTTTTTTTGTTTTTTTTTTTTTTTTTAGTAAGATTTTTACTTGTTATATGTGAAGTCCATATTCACTTATTACTATTTATCCAAAATCATTTCTTATTGATACTACTTTATAACATAGCAAAACAACATAGTAAAAATGAAAATTTTTCAAGTAAAGAAAAATTAGAGAACTGTTTCAATCTAAAACAAGAAATATCTGCTAACAGATACAAATGCAATATAAAATTGTAAATATTCCTTGGTATACAATAAAACTAAAAAGCCAAAAGGGCATGAGACCAACAATGTATACAGCAAAAAAAATTTCCTTATATAAACACAACAACAGTAGTATTCACTGCATGTAAAAGAAAAACAAGCTTATGGCCGAGAACGGTTAAAAAAGCATGGAAGTCTATTTTTTGTTACATTCGGAAATCTTTCCCATCGCGACCACCAGCAAATGCTAACTTCACGATATACGGTGCTTTACCAACTGCAATATTCTTCATAGTAACTCAATAAAGTAAAAGTATCTTTTGATAATCAACAGTATGTTAAAGTACCATTTATTACTTGACAGACAGTTTGAAAGAACGGATTTTGCTAATCAACTTTCATATTTTGCTAAACAAAACTTTTTTACATGTTCCCAACTAATGACAGAACATTAGCAGTAGGTTTACAATGGAAATGTAAACCTTAGCCAATCAGTTTCTCTAAATTTATATTTCTCTGAAAATGTTCTCTAAAGAAATGTAAACCTTAGCCAATCAGTTTCTCTAAAAAAAAAAAAAATTTAAAAAAGTTGTGAAAACACTGAAGTCATGAAAACATCAAAAAACCTACCAGGGCTTTCAACTGGTGTATGGTTCGCCAACATGAGCGCTTCCGTTGCGCGTTCCGTGTTAGAAAATTCGCAGATTCCAGCTGAACTACGTTCCGAACGTTGTGGAAAAATGACCACTTTATCAGGTGCTACAGCTCCCTTGTCGACAAATAGCTAAAATATCTTAATTTTTCTATCAAACATATATAATTCTATCATATATGTCAATCCAAGAAAAAATAAATAAATAAATATAAAAAAAATAAATATATATATATTATATATATATAAAAAAATAAAAATATGTATAAAAAAAAAAAAATATATATATATATAAAAAAATATCTTAATTTTTCTATCATATGTCAATCCAAGAATAAAAGGGTTTTTCTATACCAAGAATAGAAAATTTGATTTAAATATATCCAAGAATATTATGTATTGTGCATTTTCTAAAAATATTACATTAATCAGACATTTCTTCATGATACATACCTACTAATTATTAAAGTATACATAACATAAATTTTGCCTGCACTGTAGTACAGGCAAAATTTATTTTTCTATGTATAGTTAATAGTTGATAAGTTAACTTTCTCTTCTCATGGAGAAACAGCGGCAAATGTTTAATTATAACTTTATATTTAAATCAAAAATGTACCTCTTTGAGCTTCTCTTCTGTCATTGTCACGGGAGCATTGTACCAATGTAACACGTGCGTTGGTTTCACAATTCGATTTCGTGCCGCTAATTCGGGCGTCGTATAACGCTGATTGCGACTATTTGTGTAATCTCTGCATATTGTTACATCAATTTTTGTTCAAAAAAAAAAATAACTATTCCTGCTAATTACTAATTCTAATTATTAAGTTTACAAAGTAGACAATTTCTTACATTACCTAGTCTTATTTTATTCAAATCTTAAAGGTATAAAAATTTCTCCTCCAATATAAATGTGATCAACATCTTTCGCTTTACCTGTATGAAGGCGTTCCATCCGGCAATATAAACGGATCACGTATTTCGTGCAAAATTTGCTGTTTAGATGGTCTGAGGGCAAGTTTATTGCCAAAAATCATGGTACCATGCAAATTATCGATTGTTGTGTAGACTTGGCGTACGCTACCTAATTGGGCCATAGCCGTATCTGTTTTCGACTTCATAAATTTTATCTGAAACAATTGCAATTCAAAAATAAGGAACTAAACGGTAAAAAATGATTCACTGAATCTAACATGATTTTAAAAATTTAATAAACGAAAAATATAGGCAAAAATAAATCACAGCAATTCTTTCTCATAGCTAATAAAATCAGACAATATCACGAATTACCTTATTGCAGTTACCATAAAGACACAACAGATTAAATAATTTGTCGCAATTAAAATTATCCTGATCAATACCATAAATCATCATCACAGGACCATCGCCATTGTAAAAATCACGTTCATCTTCGTAGAGACCAGCACTTCCTGCAATATAAGTGTCACATAATACAACAAATCTTTCAAATCCATAGATCAAAGCACTAGAATCAGAAAACAGAAAAAAAGGTCAAAGTTTGGAATAAAACGGAATTACTTTAATCATAAGAAACAGCTATTAAATTCTTAACAGTTCGTTAAAGCAGTTACGATTTTCATAATTTTGAGAGGCGCTTGGAATAGAACCATTTTCGATCGATAGAAATAGAACCATTCTCATTTTCGATCATTTTAATTACTAATCATCCCTTACATTGAACTTCCAAATTTTGAATTTCAAAATGTAATTTTTTTATGCAAATTAAAAAGTACATTGTTTAGAACAAAGCGAAATACAACCTCTTCCACGTGCATATCCTCCTCGGCCATAACCACCATCACCACGACCAAATCCACCTCGTCCTCCTCCTCTACTGTAATATCCATCACCACGAGAATAACCATCCCCTCTTCCATATCCTTCGGTTCTTCCATATCCTGCATCGTATTCATCATAGCTGCCACGACCTCTACCATAGCTGCCACCATAACGATCCTCATGATAACTATAATCACCAGGTGGACCACCGCGACCTCGTCCACTATATCCTCCTATAAGTAAATATTTTAAAATTATTAAAAGAAATTAGTGCTTGATCAAGTCATACATATCCTTCGTATGAATAGTCAATCATAAAAATTTGCATCGTCAATACTTGAACCATTCGTTACGCCACAAAGTACCACAACATACCGTAACTTGGAGGTCCACGCGGTCCAGGTGCTGAAAAGATGGGGAGAGAAATTAACAGTATCAAACGAACCATTAAAAGTAAATCAAACAGCATGTTTTGATGAAATGGAAAAATTGTAATAAATAAGAAAAAAAAAAAAATTACGTCCTCCGCGTGGTCCCGCATCATTTAGTAACGTCTTCCGAGGTTCCTCCGTGTACTCTGAAATAGCATCCAGGAATGAGTTATAACATACAGAATATACCTTTTTTTTTAACATGCGCAATCTGAAACGAAAAAAAATCATGCATCAATGCCGACCTTTGCAGCCTTGTATGAAATGTAAAGAAAGATGCAGAAGAATTCAGCGACTTAACCATCATTCAGGATCCGAGTATCACTCGAACAATGCAACATAATGATATCAACGAACCTTATCCAGGTAATACATAAACTTAAGCCTGTAGGCCATCACCACTGCTACATAATTTCTTCCACACCGCAAGCTCTTTTGCGGTAGAAACCTGCAGAAAAGGGATGCGATCACGTTTAAGGCCAATAATTAAGAAGCACGGTGATAAGCCCTTATAACAGTTCTCGTAGTTTCTTCGTTTTTATATCCCTTTCTTTCTGTGTATGTGTTCTTTGTATGCAATGCATTCCAATACTGTACGCCATTAAATGTCCATTAGCATGCGTCAATCCTACCAAACTGTTTTAACCTTTCGCTTAATCTCTTCCCTGTTAGTATCATTTATACGATTTACGACGATCAATGACAGTTGCGAATGATTGTTGTACTGCATTAATGATAATATGAAGGAATATTTGTTTCTCTCAATTTCCCAATAGGATGCCATTTTTCATATTTGTGGTGCTGAATGCAGCTGCACTTAAGTTGCAATCGGTACCTGTTGTTTTTGACTATTTTCTGCACCAACTCAGAAAATATGCCTTCTACGATGAACCTCTTTATGCTGTTGCTGATGATGTTGATGATGTTGATGCTGCTGATGATAATTGTGGAGTTGAATGGTGGTGATGATGAGGGTACTGATAATAATAATAATAATGATGGTGATAGTGATGACGCTGAGAAATGCAACACATCAGTAGATTATCTGCGATCTTTTCATGTTGGTACTGTTATATGTGTTGATAGTAATTAAAATTTGTTGTTGCTTTCCCGACCCTCGATCCACTCATAGCGACAGTCAGTGTAGTTTGTATGGATGTAATTTTCACACTATACCCTGTAACTTTACAATCACCTGCAACAAGCATATCCTGTGCCAGCCCCACAACTGTTAACATTTAAATAAACAACCTGATTGTGGCGCCTTCGTGTAATCCCACTGATCACTGTCATTCCGAGTCACTTTCACATGTTCTGGCTGGAATTAGTAATTATGATATCAAATTATATTATGCTTATTAGATTTTAAAATTTTCATATGAAACGCTACAAATATGTTTCCATGCTTTTAGTTAATGGTAATTAGACAATATATATCATCAACTATGGAAATCCTTTGAACTAAAAGAGAAGCTACTATTTTCTTAAATAAGATAAGAACTGTTCAGATAATAATTCAGCAACATATAATTTTAAAATCTCGACAATTTTTAACAAGGACCGTAGAATACATGATTAACCTTAGCAAATTCAACTTTGAGAGTACAGCATCCAGAGTATATATCAGCGCCATTCATCGCATGTTTCGCCTTTTTCGCTATTTCCGCACTTTCAAATTCAACCAATGCTTGCAACATTGTTCGACGTATCATAGCAATACGTCTCACAAAACCATGCAGTTCACATATCTATAACTTTCAGTTGGACCGAATTTTTTCGATTAAGTTTACTGTTTATACCTAATAAAACTAGACGAAACACAGCTCAACATTACTCACACAAAGATATTCAAAGTGTCATCAAATTCTGATTCACCGATGATTTGAATGAGTCATTTTTGTCGTAACACATAAAAGCAATTTGGAATGGCTTCAACAACGAGATATATTAAAATAGTAAGAGAATATAAAGGATACCTGATGAATGACATCAACGTTAATAGGATACTGAGCATTGTAAATGGTCAATATAAGCACATGATTCGGTGTCTCCGATTCAAGTCCCAGTCGTTGAATCATTTTAGATGTAGAATAATTGAATAAAGCCGCTTGCCCGGCAACATAAATTTGATTCGTCTGTGCATAAACGACACATGAACGTGCACCTTCAACTTCCTAAACATATTGTCACCTCATTTAGATATTCATGCCATGAATACAGTTCATTAATACGATTCAATTTTTTTCTCTAGTAACAGCCACATTAATATTATTCCTAAAATTATATTTGAAAATAAGATACCAACCTCAAATTCCACTAATGCCATTCGTTTTCCTGGCATACAAGTAGCATATGATATAGGACCAAAATGCGATAATGCTTCCAATAAATCAGCTTCAGTAGCTTTCGGACTTAAATTCCGGACATGAACAACTATTGATGGATCTGGATTAGTCGGATCAACATTATCATCACGTCTGAAACGTTTTGATGGTGGTATTTGTGATCCACCTTCCTCTTCTTTCGCTTCTGTATCCATCTGTAAAAACAAATGTCATATCAATCTATTAGCTTATTTCTAGTATGATTTTACTCATGCTTTTTTTTTTCCGATAAACTAGATATTTTATGAGTAGCAAATGTGAAGTACAAATATGAATTCATTATTTCTTATTTCTAGCATCGTATAAACAATTGTACATCTTATAATCAATGTTTTAAAAGTTCACAGTCCTATCTACCTAACATTTCGAGTAAAACTGCAAAAATGAACATCCTATCCGTCCATCCACTCATTTAGATCACTCAACCACGTCCAACCACACATTACCATGAACCTTTTTTCAGTTTTCGCCATTTTCCGGTAAATTTCTTCCGGTAGTCAGGATAGGTAGTGCAGAAGTGAAAAATGTGAGATGCAACATATAGCAAAATCAAAGATATAACAAAATCTGAATGTAATTAACTGTAAACTGTACAACAATAAGGATAAATAGTTGCAAATTTATCGTGCATGTATGGAGGAATTATAAAATGATAACATCAAATGAATATAAACACTGCTGATATCACTAACATACAATTCTTCCTATATCAGAATACAAAATTACACGTGTGTCCTGTCATATGCATCCTATTTTTTGTTCAGTTGTGGAGCTGAAACTCTAACTTTTCCAGGAATATTTCGTGAAATTTGATCATCAGTTGCTAGCACCCTTAGTAAATTTAATTCTTGCGCATTTGCTGATTTATCACGCTGAAAATGAGAAATAAATAGTGAATTATTTAATAGATAACAGCAAATATCACCTATCACGAAGATATGAATGAAAGAAAGAATGTGTTTATTTTGCAAAAAGAAGAAAATAGCCATTATAATTACGTAGTTATAAAACTGTAATCATTATCATTTTCAAACTTAAATATGATATCTGATGAAATATAGTAGGAATGAGTTCACATTTATATCTCATCATATATGAGTTTTATTTCCGGTTCACTCATGAAGTTGAAGGTTTAACCTTGCTAGACATATTTCTCAAATTTCAATTTCAACTCTTAGCAATAGTTTTGGTAAACGAAATATTCAAAATGTGGAGCAGACAATAGAAAATAATAGTTAGAAATATTACCTGAAACAATGCTATTGCACTCTTAGCCGCTTTTCCTCGTTTTCCAGTTCCTGGAGTCAATTTCACCTTATATTTAAAATTCTGCATCGTTTGATACGGTGCCACAACCACCAAAGCAAACAAAAGAACGTCCTCATCTAATGGTCGCCATGTCAACGAATTCAGCATTTTCGTTTCTTCGGCATCCATTACTGCCATATCTGCCATATCTGTTTCCAATAGTTGCTCATCTTCCTCCTGAAAATGAAACGGATAATTTTCTAATAGGTATATACCTTCAAGTGTAAAATTAAATTTAAACAATTTCAAACTTTTGAATCAATTCGGAATGCTTTGAAATTCCTAGTTATAACGCTTATCTCATAGCTTAAACTGGATAACCTCGTACTCTATATTGACAAATTTTCATCCTATACTGCTGCATAAATAGTTTGGAAATTGCCAGTTATCATATGAGAGAAATTTTAAAATATAACAGAAACCTATAATTGCATTGAATCTGAGTTAAGGCCTTACTTCTTTAGCTATTGTTGAAGGTTCAGCTTTCTCCTCAACCACTGATGCATTTCTCACACATTCAAATTGACTCGTCAAACTGACTTTACCATCTTTAGCGTTTTTCTTTTTCGCTTTCTCCAAAGCCTTTTCATTGATGTTTTTTTCTACAAAAATCCATTATTCAAAAATTTGCATAATATAATAGGAGCATTATCATATAATCACATATACTTCGCGGATTTCCCGAGTTCTTACATTTAATGCTTATACATATTGTTGCATAGTAAATAAAATAAGAAAATGAACCACAAAAATAAACCTTCCATAAAGAGATTTTGAAAAATATTAGCATTTATAGACAACATTAATATATTAACTAATTCACCCTAATTAAAATATCGTTAACGTTATTTCTGATCTAACCCAAATTTAAGCTCATGTATAACAAGATAAATAAGGCTAATGATTAATCAAGCTACAGATTTTGAGAATAGAAAAAAAGAATTTTCTCGGTGTAACAAATGTGACAAACTTTCTAAATCTCTTGTATCCTTCGGTTTTGATGCCAGTAACATCAACCTTAATTGGCGCTCTTCCTCATCCTGATCACCATATTTCTTTTTGATTTTCTCTGCTTTATGCTTCTGCCGTCGAGTCATAGGTCGTACTTTGTCACTTTGTTTCAATTCATCTATTTTTTGCTCTTTGTTATTGTCTCGAATATCACTAGTCGTATTGATAGCAGATTTTCTTTGTACTGAAGGACCTACTTGAATAATGGTATAACTGTTATCTTCATCTGCGCTTCTTCCTTTTCCAATAATACCTTGCAGGTTAACCTAAATATCATTATATTTAACTTACTGAAAAATCAATAATAAAATTGAGCTTTAGAATAACTTTAGTTAGTGGTAATCTTAAAATTTATAACCGTTTAATGAATTAATAATTATTTATTTGATGAGGATAATGGAACCATTTTACAAAGTTCGAATTGATGTAAAACATTATGCAGATTTTGAAATTCGTGTCTCAAGAAAAATTGCTCTTTTTTTCTTTATATCTATGCTCATCTTTTAAAACTTTAATACTAATGCAAGAATCTACCTTTGCCTTTTTCAGCACATTACAAAGCAAACAAAAAATAAAAATAAAAATAATCAAAGCAAATTATGCAACATTTTAATAGCAAATTTTTACCTGAACATCAGGAAAATCATCAATTTGCGCATCTGAAGAATTCTTTTCTTCTTCACTTCCACTTTCACTTAATGAAATGCCATTATCATCACCATCATCTTGGTGCATAGCATTATCCTCTGCTGTAACCATAGGAGCAACTTTCCTTTCTTCTCTATGTCTTTCCAGTGATTCCTCATCTAGTTGAAACATTACACCAAATCCCATTTGCAATTGACATGTTGGTAGATAATTCTTTTTACCACGTATCATAAAACTACCTGGTGTTAGATATTCACCTGTTGGAGCTGTCCTCGAAACCTATAATCCTACTTGAATTACAATTAAAAATTTCTAATCTTGAAATTTATTTCATTTCATTTCAATTCCTCTTTTTTTTTTTTTTTTTTGCAACATTTTTCAGCTTCCTAAAGCATCTTCTATGAAAATGATGCATTTTTGTATTTAAAACATATAAGCAAATGAGTATCATAATGTTATATTTATAATCATCTTATCATATATAATATTAAATCCATATTCTTATCTCTTTCTAATTTTATCATTAATAAATATGTTTTTATTATCTTTAACATAAAACACTTTAAATACTAATATCCAATAAACAACCTGATGTTGATGAACCCACCACGCTGAACTTGTTATTTTCGCTTCCCATGCAGAGGAATATGAAATAGCCATTGTAGCAGCTTCATTTAAAGTTCGTGGTGGTACATCACCACCGCCTAATTTGTTACGTATAATAATAGATGATGCACCACGTACATCTGCATGCATATAAATATCACCTGGTCGAAGATATCTACAATATTCAAAAATTGATTCTGCTTCACATTGTAAAAAAAAAAGATAAAGCAGTAATAGAATTCAAAATTTTCACCTTTTCACAAGCAATTCATTTTGCTGTGCATCACGACCGCCAATTACCAAATAATTTTCAGAGCTAACAAACCAGAAAAATTTCTCAAACCACATCACATGTCTTTTTTTCATAACTTCAGCTTTTGTATGAACCTTAATACTTCGAAAATAAAGAAGATAGAATGATACAATAAAGAAAAAAAAAAAGAAATGAACAAATTTTTCAATAAACCAATAATTTTTCACTTCTGCTAAATTATTCAGTAATGTTAGTTTCTTTGCCATAGTTTAAATTAATAATAAAAATGTAAATACTACCACTTTCAGCGTTTCCTTCATCTTCATTTTGGTTGATTTCAATGCTTTTGATGAAGCACAAATTGTTTTCTGTTCTTTTTGCTGTGCAGCTTTTTTTTCCGTATGAAGTTTTCTAGCGTTTTGATAAGACGATAAAGCAATATCAATAGTAACCTAAAATAAAGAAATTATGCTGTATAGAATACATGGTCATCTTTGTTTTCATTTAATCTGAGTAATATCAAATTATGTAGATTAAAAATCCATAAAGATTTCTCCCATAAGGATAGAGAGAAATCAAATCTCATAGTAACCAAAAAACAACGACCAACACAGATTCAAAATTTTCATTACAGTCTCTGCATAACAGTTACCTTTTTAGGATCAATTTCTGGACGATACGGATCTCTGAGCAGTAATGTCATTTGATTTGAATTTAAATTTAAACCAACGATAGAAGCAGCGATTGGATTTCCAGCTTCACATGCTTGCACTCGCATTTCTTCAATAGCTTCCCAACTAAGCTGAAATGAAAAAATTTTTGTTAATTCTTGAGAATTTTAAAAATGTTTGGAAATGATTCTCTAGATAACAGAATAATATTTACTTGATTAGCAATAGCTGATCGAATAACCAACAGAGCTTTATCTACCAAATCAGTATTTAACTCAATTAATTCAGCCATCTCTTCTCTTTCCATTTGTGCTATTTTTAAAGCTTCTATTCGATCCTGCATTAACAACAATAATTTATTCGTTAATAAAATTCCATAAAAAAAAAAAAAAAAAAAAAAAAAATGCTTTTTATGAACGTATTCTTTTCCAGAAATAGAATGCAGGAAAAGAACATCTTAAATATACCTGTTGATCCTTTATGACATTATTTAGTTTCTTCATTGCTTCCTTTTCTACATTAAGTGCTTTTATATCAGCTTTTTGCAATTCTAGTTTTGAAAAGAATTCATCGACACATGCCGAGAATGAATCAAAACGTTTTGTTTGCATACCATTAAATTGCGAAAACATGAATGGATGAAATTCCTAGAAAAAAA